CCCAGACTCACCCCCGGCACACGCAGAGCGAGCCCCGTCCCAGACCCCCCCCCCCACCCCCCGAGCGGGCCCCCCCCCCCCACCCCCCCCCCAGCACACGCAGAGCGAGCCCCGTCCCAGACTCCACACAGGTTCCACAGACTGACTGTGTGTTGTGTGAAGAAATACTTCATTTTGTGTGTTTTAAACCTGCTGCCTGTTAATTTCCTTTGGTGACCCCTAGTCCTTGTGTTATGAGAAGGAGTAAATAACACTTCCTTATCTACTTTCTCCACACCAGGCATGATTTTATAGACCTCAATCATATCTCCCCTTAACAGTCTCTTTTCCAAGCTGAAAAGTCCCAGTCTTATTAATCTCTCCTCACACGGAAGCTGTTCCATACCCCTAATCATTTTTGTTGCCCTTTTCTGAACCTTTTCCAAGTCCAATGTATCTTTTTTGAGATGGGGTGACCACATCTGCACACAGTTTTCCAGATGTGGGCGTACCATGGATTTATACAGAGGCAATAGGATATTTTCTGTCTTATCTATCCCTTTCTTAATGATGCTCAACATTCTGTTCGCTTTTTTGACTCCCGCTGCACATGGAGTGGATGTTTTCAGAGAACTCTCCACAACGACTCCAAGATCTTTCTTGAGTGGTAACAGCTCATTTAGACCCCATTATTGTATAGGTATAGTTGGGACTCACCCATGGAATTCGATTCCTGGTCCTCTCCACTGACTCCTGCCAGTTCCCAGCAGCGACACTGCCCCGGCTGGGGGAACCCTCCAAACTGCCCCTAGATCCCACTGGATTGAAGCGTCTCTGGTTCAGTGTCCTCTCTCCTGTCCCAGCCCCCTCTTCTTCCCCAGCCCCCCATTCTGCCCCCTCGCTGGGCAGCTCCCAACCGACCCCACAACCACCCTTCTCCTGGCTGATCACTCAAGGCTGCTAACGCAGAGACGCCAGCTGCCGGGCACTGCCCACCACATCTTGCTGCCCGGCCAGCCCTGGGGGGCACCTGGCTGGCTGCTGGTGGGGCTGTTACCTTTCGTGTCCTCATCCTCTATGGTGGTGTTGGTGCTGTCGGACGATTCCTGCGAAGACAGGCGGGAGGGAGAGAGACCAGAGAGCGCGTTAGGCAGGGCTGGGCCACGGTCACCCAGTGTCGGGGCCAGAGCCCCAGCACAACCCATGAGCCTCGTCCTGCGTCTGCCCCACAAGTGGCCCCTCTGGGCGTGGACGCTCAACAGCACTGTGATGTGGTAAAGGCAGGACAGCTTCGCAAGACAACCCCCTCCAGTACTCCTCCCCAGGCCCGGCAGATCCAGGCCCCCAACCCAAGTCTGGGGCCTTTAGGAAGTTATATCTGCCCCCTTCCCCTAGTGGGGCCTTAATTCCCCTCCGGGGTGAACGGGAGTGGCCTGGAACAGCTGTGCCCACGATGGCAGCCAGGCACAATAGTCGGCTGAAGATCTGGCCCCGTGCCCCTCACCGTGGTATCGGGGAGGGGAGCTGTGCTTGCCCTGAAGCTCCCGAGCGAGGCTAGCCCAGGGGGGACTCAGGCATAGCTCACGGTAGCCAGGTCTCTCTTGAGGCTCCCACTCATGCCTCCTGCCTGCAGCCCTGCCCCTCCAGCGCTGGGGCAGCAGGGAAGGATGGGGAACGGCGCCAGGGACCCCTCGCAGCACCAGGCAGGACTGCAGGGAGAAAAGCTGCCCTTTGACTCTGGGCCAACAGCCCTCCCCAGAACCCTTCCTTGGGCACCCACCTGAGCTCCATCCACTGATCAGGCTCCCGGCCAGCCCAATCCTGCGCCCCACCTTCCCCGCCATCAGCAGGGAGGCAGGAGCAGCATGCGGCCAGGGTCTTCCCCCCACAAGAGGCTCTGGGGATGGTGGGTGGATTGCAGAGCCCTCCAGAACGAAGGGAAAATGGGATCTGCCCTTTTGCAGACGCATTTACTTCAGGTGGACAGCAAACATTTCCCATCTCACTCCAGGCAGCTGGCGCCTGTGTTGGAAAATCCCTGTCGCGTCCCAACCCCAGGAACAATCCCAGCTCTGGCAGGGGGGTCCTGGGAAGATGTGACCTTAGCTGAGAGCCTGGAGGCCAGCCTGAGTCAGCACAGAAGGGGAAGGAGAGGCATCGCCCCAGTTACGGCACCTTCTGGTTAGTTTAACGCAAGGCCAATCTCCTGGGTTAAGGGGAAGGAACAGCTTGAGGGAGGGGTTTGCTGGGAGCCCTGTCTCGTTCTGGGCCCACTGAGGAGACCTGCTCTGAAAAGCGCTTCACAGCCTGTGCAGACAGGTATCACGCCAGCCCTGAACAGAGACAGCGACCGGCCCGTCTCGCTGCCGTCACGGGGTTGGGGGAAACCAGGTTTCCGTGGCACCTCCGGAGCAGCGTACGCCGTCAGCGCCAGGCTCTGAGTCGCACCAACGAAAACAGGCAGGAAGCGCCCAGGCGGGGCCAAGGCCTTGGCTTCGTGTCTAAAGGAAGGGGTCATCCAGGGGTGGGCCATCTGGCCACCAACGTATATCACTGAGCAGCGAAGGAGCCTGAATTCAAGCCAGTGCCCAAGGCTCCACCGCCATTACCAATGCTGTGAGCTAGCCAGTCCCTTCAGCAAACCTGTGCAGCTAGCCCCGTGCCCTGGCCTTCAGGAGTTGGACAAGACCCATTCGATCGCCTGGTCTTCCCCAGGAGCCTTTGTAACCATGCTGCTCTGTATGGAACACTATCACTCCGCGGCCTTGCTATTCATACCACGGCTTCCACGCTCGATTGTTAGGCAATCGCCAGCCCTCAGGCCACAAGGTGGTGTGGGACAATGGAGAACCAGACCCAAGTCCCGTCTATGCCCTGACACCAGTTGCCTTCCCTTAGAGTGACTGAGATGTAGCTAATTATGGAGCCGATCTGCCAGACTTGCACGGTGGGAACAAAGCCCTTTCCCCACCCGTTGGAGTAAAATTTTAAAATCCTCAAGCCACAGCTCAGCCAGGGAAAAGGCCCTTAAACCTCCCACCCCCTTCAACTGGAATAGAGACGCCACCTTCCCTCTGAGCGAGACCAGCTGCCAAGTTTGCTGTCTGGGGCAGAACAACCTGCATGGCAAGACCTTCTGGTGCCACCTGGACAATTAGACAAAAAGGTCTCTGGAGAAAATAGGCCAGGTCCTGCTTGTTCCACCTTCCCTTGTTCGTCCACTTATGGGGTGAGTAAAGCGGCTAAGAGGCTGCCTGCCTGCTCATTTTTCTCAGAATAATTTCTGCAATGCATGAAGGAGAACAAAATCGGGTTTGTGCTCCTTGTTGTTTCCATGTGATGTAGAAAGAAAGCCCATCTGCCCTGGAGTCTCTGTGGCGCCCGGCGACCTGGCCGGATTGTGACAGCACAAATCAGAGCAGTGAACTAAGGGGTTTTTTGGGCTGTTCAGACTCTTTACTTCAGGTTTGTTAATGTCTGTTTAACTCAAGCCATTCAGAAGCACCTGAGAGAAAGCAGGACTCTGTTGCAAATTCAAACAGATCCTACAGTTCCATCCTGCGTTGGCTCATAATCGCCATGGCAAAGACCTCCAGTGCATCTTCCGCCAACCCCAGTGCAGGTTATTTCTAAGATGGAAAAAAGCAGCTTTTGGGAAACAAGAATCCCGCCCCCCCTTTTCAGCCTTTTTTATCCATCCCAGAGAACCAAACCAAGGGCACAGACCTGGCCGTTGCAGGGCGCCTTTAAGAGACGAGCTCCTTAAAAACCAACTCCTCACGGCCGCTGGGTGACTGGTGTGTGGATGTAGGTGCCAGGCCCTGCTCCTTTTGTATTCCCCAGGTGGGGCAAAGGGAGCAGAGGTACAGCAGTGCCCTACCTGGGGACGTACTGGTCTCTGGTGGGCACACAGCTGCCAGGACTGGCCCCACCTTGATACACCGCCCGCGCTGGGGACATGCCGGCAGCTATGGCAGCATCCTGCTCTCCCGGCCGTCGACGCGCATTAGGAGTCGCTCCCCCGAAGTCCATGGGGCTGCGGTGAGGGCAGGGCGATGGCGGGGGAAGCAGGCTACGGCCCACGGGAGGTTCCCTGGAGCGCTCTCGGCTTGGGATCAGTCACCCCGCGGGGCGCCGGCCCCACAGACCGGGGTAAGGGACCCATCAGGCTATTTACAAAAGCTGCACAGGCAGGTGGAAAGTCCAGCCAAGGGGACACTGAGGTGGATATAGCGCTGGGGCAATGGATTAGCTCCTGAGGGCCCGATCCTGCACACCCTCTGCCGCGAATGCACTGCTCAGCGAGGCAGGAGGCTGCCGTGCCAGACAGCTGGGCCAAGCGGGCAGGAGGGGCCAGAGGGCAGGAAACTGCAAACTGTGAATCTGTCCCTACTGCAGCCGAACCTACTCCCCACCCGGCTCTGCCTGTGCCCCCTGCCCCGGGGAGTGGGGATGGCCAGATGCGCCGAGGGAATGAGTCGGAAGTCGGGGATGGAAAGGGATGCTCAATCCCTGCAGCGGAGAATGGGTGAGGACGAGATGCAGGCTGGGGCGGAGGCGGGGGCTGTGTGAGAGCAATGGATGAACGTGGCATGGAAGGAGTTTATCAGTCCTCAGCCAGTCCCAGCTCTGGGGCTGTCTGCTCACTTGCCTCTCCGTGGCTGTGCTCGGAGCCAGCTCAGGATCTCTGCTCTTGGACTGGCTTCTCTGGGGGCTCTCCACCCCCCTCCCTTACCGAGCAAGTGCCCCACTTCCAGCTGGATGCTGGTTGGGCCAGCGAACCCCCCACCCCGGATGGCCAGAATCCCCCAAACCCCGGTTCTGCGACCACAAACATGGCTCTAGGCCTGTTGCTGCGGGGTGAGGAGCACGCGGAGCGGCATGCACAGCAATACACCCTCCGAGAGGCAGCCAGTGCATGCTCCGAGCACGGAGCCCACTGCCCCCATGGGGCTCTGAACCCTGAGATACTAAGGCTGGAGCAGAATGGGTGGCAGAGCCCCCAGCTGGTATCTCCCCCACGACTTCAGGGGCGTTTGCGCCTGAGGAGGGGCAGCCCTTGTGGGGGTCATCACTTGCTGTTGGCAGCAATTCCGCAGGAGACCTGGTGGGAGCAAACAGCAAAACTCCCACAGACTGCACTGGGGGCCAGGTTCCCCCCAAGAGCCAGGGTCTACCCTCCAGACTGCTCTCCCACTGACCACGCTCCGTCCCCTTGAGCTCTGCAAGGAGGCCGATGCCCTGCAGACGCGTCTGCTGGGCCAATCTGCTGCCCTGGACAGCTCCCTAAGGGGCACCCAACTCCTGTTCTCTTACGCTCCAGAGAGAGACTGGAGCACACTAAGGAGGAAAAGCCTGAGCCCAGGCTCTGTCCCCAGAGGTGAGAGCGCACAGCTGTGTCAGAACGTAGCCAAGATCGCAACTGGGCCAAGGGCGAAGGAAAGACAGGCAGCAGTACCTTAATGCCGTCCGCGGGGTTATGGATAACGGTGGTTTGAGGCTCCTACGGAAGAGAGACAGAGGAAGGAGAAGAGAGACAGAAAGGAAGGAAAAAACAACACAGTAGTCGTTGGAAGAGAGGGAAAGACGGATCAGAAAACGGTGACAAGAACGTGAAGGGGAGGGGGGAGACGGAGGGGGGACAGACCCAGAAGAGAGCAGGGAGGGGGGAGGATGGAGGGAGAAAAGCAAAAAGTAATTAGTTCAGCCAAAGGCAAATGATTAAAAAAACAGAGAGTGGCAGAGTAAACCAGGAAGAAAGAAACGGGGTTTGGGGGTTGGGGCTGAATCTCCATGAATGAAACCGAATCACAGCCCAAGCCATGGCATGAGCATCTAGGCGAGGTGTGGGGGAATGGAGAGCGTGAAGCTGAAATTGGATCAGAGCCCTCTGAGGTGGGGGGCACGTCAGGAAGGAGGCAGGGCTACCAGCACCCCGATACAGGCGGCACCAGGGAGCCCTGCAAGTCCCTGTGAGCTCAAGAGCGGTCACGAGGGCAAGGCCAGCGCCATTCACAGGGAAGGGGCGCCCTGCTCCAGATGCCAGCGGGAAGGCAGCTAGTTGCCCAAGCATGGAAGGAACGGCCCTTTAAATGCGCCTGTCTCTGGGGAGTGCTCTCAGCCATCATCAGCCAGCCCAGGTCTCAGCCCTGAAGGAGCCTGGGTCCAGCCAGAGGGGAAGGGTCCAGCTGGGGGACCGTCTTTCCTGCAGCCTTGTGTTTGGGATGTGCGGCCTCCCCACCTCTCTCGCCACCCAAGGGCTTGCAGGTCGGCGGCACAGAGCTCTTACCTTTGCCAGAACACAGCGGGGGGGTCGCGAGATGGGTTTGCGTCCGGGAACTTTACCATGCGCTTACCTGGGAGGCTGGCAAAGTCCCCGTGTCTCATCAGCCACACAGCTGGTCTCTCTCTGGCGCCCATGTGGGTTCATATTGATGAAACAGGTATTGGAATGACCAGAAAACGTCTGGACCATTGAACGCTGGTGAGCTGCTGCCTGGCCTAATCTCACTTGTCATATGCCTGGTCCCCCCGTGATGTAATACTTGAGCGGCTGCATCATGAGCCTCGGTGAGTGTGCGAATCACCATGCAGGAGAGGGACACGACGGAGTGCAAAGAGCTGCTCTTCCACAGAAATTGTCACGCCCCCTTGGAAAGCAGAGCCCCATGGACACGGGACAGGCTACGGGGGGTGGAGGGGGGCGTGTCGTACAACTGGGAACTCCCCACTTCCAGATCATCAGCAAAAGGACTCAAGATCCTTGCGGCTTTTCTGCTCATCCCTGAAGACGAGTCTTGCAAGCAGACTCCTCCCATCGGCTGAGTTTACAGCTAAGAGCACATGGCAGGAAGGGGATAAGCCCTAGTTCCTTTGGTTTGGGGTTAGCTCCATGCTGCATGGACTCGGGGCAGGGGGGCAGGTGTTTCTAGACAGACGGCAAGAGATCCCCAGGCTGCGTTTAGCCCTAAAGGTCAAATCGAGCTTGCTCATTATAGAAGCCTTGCGATGGGGTGTCACCCCCGCAGGGCAGAGCAGGCTGTCAGGCAGCACCCGGGGGACAGCCTGAAAAGCTAACTGATGATGAGGGGCAGGCTGGGCTGGTACAAAGCCAGCAAGCTGGGAGCAGAAGAGGGCTGGCCGGGTAGGCTGAGAGCCAGGGCTTGGGCTGGCGGCTGGCTGGCTGAACGGAGCTGGAATCCAGGCTGAGAGGGAGAAGCAGCAAAGGATGACGAATAGCTTCAGATTGGGAAGAACAGAAAGATCTGTCTCTGAAGGGGAGGGAGCAGACGGGGATGGAAACACGAGTAAGGAAAAGGATCGACATCTTACGCTGATGCTGGGAGATGTTAATCCCTTGAAAACAGCAGAACGGATTAGGCGCAGTATCAGAGAGCTAGGATGAGCTCAAAGCCGGCAGGGTGGCCATTTAGTAGGAGAACATACACATGAGGAACAGGCTGAGAAACTTCTTAAAACTAGAATCTTATGTGCAATAAAAGTAATTTGCCAGCTACCTAAGTTTGTGACAGAAGCAAGTAGTATTGACCAGATAGCAAATGTGAAAAATCGGGACAGGGGGTGGGGGGTAATAGGATCCAATATAAGAAAAAGACCCCAAAATCGGGACTGTCCCTATAAAATTGGGACATCTGGTCACCCTAGAAGCAAGAGGGGTAACGTACAGGGTTCCACTAGGCATGGCTGAGGATGTAATTAAAAAGAGGATGGGGAGGATCCAGTGCTGATTAGCAGGAGAGGGGGAGACCAGAAGCCATCCACAGCTGTCTGAGTAACATTTAAAGCTGCAACGCTACCTGATAGGAACTCAACTCTGCTGGGTTAAACCATATACTTCGGCCCCTTTGCTGCCTGTCAGGGGAAAATGAGGGGCGGTAAATGTGGAGAAGTGCGGGGGAAGAACACAACTACAATGCGGCAGTTATAAACCCAGCGCAGCACACGGAGGGTGTGTGGCCGCAGAACAAGCTAGAGAGAGACAGAAAATTAAAACCATCCATAAAACATCCTAACACAAAATATTCGCATCGGAATTTGGAGGAGGAGGAAAACGAGCTGCTGGTACAACACCACGCAGTTCAGGGCAGGGAAGATGACATAAGGGGAATAGATGAAGACACACTGCTTGCAGGCAAAGAGAAATTTATAGCATTTATGACCAACGTGATTGATTGTAGTTTACAGAACAGGGAAGAAGACGACTGAAAGATTAAAAATGATAACCAAAGTGACAGAAAAGAATTTACAAAACCAACAAGGAGTCCGGTGGCACCTTAAAGACTAACAGATTTATTTGGGCATAAGCTTTCGTGGGTAAAAAACCTCACTTCATCTGATGCAACTGAAGAAGTGGGTTTTTTACCCATGAAAGCTTATGCCCAAATAAATCTGTTAGTCTTTAAGGTGCCACCGGACTCCTAGTTGGTTTTGTGGATACAGACTAACACGGCTACCTCCTGAGAGAAAAGTATTTGCATATGGGCAATCTCTCAATAGACCACATGAATGCAATTTTAAATGAAGGTAATAATGTAGTTTAAACAACACAGCGTTTTTTTTGTTGGAGGGCACATAGTTTAGTAACACATGGCCGGGAATGAAAGAACGCTGGGTTTGAAATGGAACACAACCCTGATGAGATATGTGTCTAAGAAACATGGTTAGTGAGAAAACTCATGTTTAGGCTTTCAGGATATGATGTAATCAGCCGTGACAGAGAAATGAAAAGAGGAGGAAGATCTAAGTTATGTTGGTATCGATGTGCAGAACTTATGTTTTGAGTACAATACTGTTGAGAATTCCTCTGCAGAATTATAACACCTTCATACAAATCTATAAAGTTTACAACCCAGATAAAAAAACGAGACAATCTAGAATTGGAAGAGTTAGTTAAGGGTGTCAAAAGCCCGTATATTATTTGTGGAGACCTTACTAGCCATATTGAATTATGGGGAAGCAGGAAAACGGACTATAAAACAGTTTCATTGATACGCCCAACCTGGTATTGCTCAATTCTGAAGGTTTCATTTGGTGGATGGGACTTTTTCATGTTTCGATCTGGGACTTGCAAGAAGCAATATGGCAAAGTAATGCAGCTGGGAAACTATAAAGAAGATGGAATGGGAAGTGATCACTTGCCTATGCTAATTCCATATCAAGGCCAAGGTAACGTTGAAAACACTGAAGGAATTCCTACCTGGAGGCTTAGAAAACCAAATTGGGGATGCTTTAAGAGTAGGTGTGCTGAGTATCCAAGTACCAATTCTGTAAGTGATAATCTAGAGGAATTTCATGATAATATAATAAAAGGAGCTGTAGCAGCAAGCAATCTAGCTATATGTAAGATATTGAACTGCCACAAACTCCAAAATTCAGTTCCCTGGTGGAACGAAGATTGTCAAGCTGCAGTTAAAGAAAGAAATACGGCATACAAACAAGCCAAAAGTATAATGAATAGCAAGGACTTCATGAACTATAAATGCTGTAAAGCAGTGGCACAAAGAACTATTAAAAAGGCAAAGAGAGATTTGGAGAAAGTATTATGGGGAATTGAACAAAGATTCCAAGGCTTCAGAGAGAGATAAACGAATGAATGAGATACAGAACAAAAACAGATTAGACCCGGACTTAGAGTAAATGATAAAGTCGAACGTTCTGACTCAGGAAAAAGCGGACATTTTAGCCAAAGAGTTCCAAAAAGCTAGTAGTGATGCAAAGCAAAGCAAAGAGTTTTGTGAACCCAAAAGAATGTTTGCCGAAGAAAACTGTAATATAAAGATGACACAGTGAATGAAAATTTCAGCATACTGGAACTCAAAAAAGCTAATAGACAAGAGCAAAACTACAGCCCTCTATAAAGATACCATAGGTAATGCAATGCTTAAGCACCTACTGGAAGGCAGCATAAGGGTTTCTTTTAAACGATATAATAATATCTGGGAAGAGGAATACTGCCGGCCGAATGGAAGCAAGCAGTGGTTATACTGATAGGAAAACCTGCTAAAATACGCACGAGACCTGATGCGTTGATCTATTCCGCAAAATGAAGGAAAGACTGAAAAATGAGAGCTTAGTAGCATGCTTGGGGAAAAAACGAAATTACGCACTATGTACAGAGCGGTCTCGGGAAAGGAAGCTGCACAGCTGATCATACTGTAAGATTAAAAAGAGAAATACAAACCCCCAGGAGGACCAGAGCGTTTCTGACAGCTGTCTTCTTGGACACCGAGAAAGCATGACATGCTGTGGAGGGAAGGCTTGCTGTAGAAGCTAGCCACGGTTGGAATAAGAAGAAGAAGGTTCAAGCGGGTAAGAGACTACTTAAGTAATAGAAGAACCATACAAGTAAAGATGGGGGCAGCTTTGTCAAATCTTTATAAACGAACTAATGGCTCTCCCCCGGGGGTGTTATCAGCTCAACCCCGTTTAACTTTATGACTAATGATCCCCTGGGGAGTATACAGGCAGGAATAGTTATTATCTGATTTGGGGATGACTGTGCGATATAGACCCAACATAGAAGGCTTCCGATAGCTGTGGAGAGAACCAATGAGACGCTCGAAGGGGATGTGGTTTCAAAATGGGGAGATATGCGGGGATTTAAGTTCTCACTTGCTAAAGCCAAGATCGTCCCAAAGAGGAAGACTGGGGAGGAACAGAACTTCTCTCTCTCTCTCTCTCTAGATAGGGCCCGTTGTTTTCAGTTTTTATTTTATTTAATTTCCCCCTGGAATTTACAGTGTTTATTACAACAACAAAAACAGGCAAAAATCAGTGCAAAAAACTACTAATAATTTTTCTGGGTAAATATCGGGATTTGTTTTGGTGGATGGAAAGACTGGGGGCGGGGGGAAAGCATTCAGTAGATTAATGCTCTGACTTCCGTTGATCGGTGTGGTTTGGTGCAGAACTAAAACAGAACTCAAAACACAATGCCACCTCCGAGGTTAAGAAAACAATAGATCTCATGCAATGTATTGTAGTTTCCTAATAAAACAAGTTATTTTTTATATAGCTGAATGATACAAAAGTAGGGTGAACATCAGAAAAAACAGAATAATATTTTTTGTAAAACCCAGGATTTTTTCGATAAAAATCGGTTTAAACTGAAAACAAAGGGGCTTATCTGTATAGAAAAAAAAATACAGGTAGCTCAACATTTGACATTCTTAGGAGCTATGTCCAACAGCAAGCTCACTTGGAAGGGTCACCTAGGTAATATCAAGATTAAATGTAAAGCTAGGATGAATCTGCTTCAAAGAATTGCTGGGAATGCTTGGGGTATGCCAAGCCTTTAACTCCACTTCTAACTCAACACTCGAACAATCAGAGCCGAGCCGAGCCCAAGCTCTGCAAATCGCAGGTGGTGTGAATATCACGATTCCGTTGTGTGGGCTGCAGGTCGCAACCGGAGAAATGCCTATAAATGGAAGGATGAAATTGTTAGATTTCACATTTTGGACGAAGGTTAATGGAAACAGAGAAGATCAAAGTACTCAATGAATAGACGAGGACTGCTGGGAATTAAGTAGAGAAGAAGTAAGTGGATGCCACAAACTCCCAGGGTCAAAAGGTGGGTAAAAGACTTGGGTGAAAAGGAAGGTCTGGATGAAATTAAAATCTATAGTCCTGGGAAATCCACCTACAGCTGGACGGTTGTGGACTGGAATGATAAGAACATAAGGATGAGCAGGGCTATCAAATATGACGACTAAGATTTCTGAATTTATACATAGCAAATGGGGCCAGCTTTGCTAAAGCTGTACTGACGGTTCCAGAGACAACAGCACGGGCAGAGTGGGAATGGCCTTGGTATCCCCGAATTTGGAATTAAGAAATCTAGGAGCCTAGCCAATTTTGCGGCTGTTTGATGGCCAAATTGATGGGTGTACTGTTGGCACTGACCTGGAGAAAAGCTGTATGCCCAGCTATGGCTGTTATCCTACCTGACTCTTTACTGGGTGTAACAGCGATTAGAAAGAAAGCCTTGGAAAGCAGGAATGACTTATTCAATGAAATATTGTTCTTAACTACAGAGATAGCACAATTGGGTGTATATATATATAGTAACAGTTTGGATTCCGGGGCGTGTTGGGACACTGGGCAATGAAATAGCAGATAAAGCCACAAAAACTGCCTTACAAAGTGAGGAGGTTGAGAAAACAGGACTTCAAAAGTTTGGTTAAGAGAGAACTTGCAAAGGAACGGGAAGTACTTTTTCCAAGAGGAAAAAGGACAACGGTTCCATGAACTATGTCCTCAACTTGAGGATAATGGTCTATTAATAGCTACGACAGCTCTGAATATAGTTACTTTCGTTCTTCAAACAGCTTGCTGTGACCCGAATGGTAATTTATATTTACGAAACAAGCACAAAGACGTGCTCTGCGACGCGCGCAAAAGTCTAAGACCCAGCTGAGCAACTGTTGTGGTAACGCAGGGAGGATTACACAAAAAGATTCTTTCTCAAGAACTGAGAGGCCGCGAGGTGAAAGACTATCGTCGGAAAGGACTGGTGAGGGCGCCGGGAAAGCGGGGCAGCCGTAAAAGAGAATCACTTCACTTTTCGAAGGATACTGGGCTAGGGGGGAGGATATAGGATTTTGATGATGCGAGAACGGCTGAAGATGAAGCATAAAACGAGAGGAGAAGAAAAAGATAGAACAGACGAGGGCTGCAGGGAACGTAATCTGGAGTTTGGGCAGGCAAGCCCAGAGGAGGGGGCTGGAAGATGGAGAAGGGGAGCAGAAAAGGGTCCAGGGAAATAGCAACAGGATCTGGGATCAAGTAGATGGCAGTTGCTAGACTTAGAGTCCCTGGTCTGGAAGCCGGGGTAGTGGGGGGCCCGGGTTCCCCTACCAACTGCTGGGGAAGCGGCAGAGGGCCTGGCCCTGGAGCAGGCACACGCACAGCTGATCCAGTGGGACTCTGAAACCTACAAGGGTAGGATTATTAATGACCTGGCCGGAGGGCTGAGTCACACGGCGAGTCCAGGAGAGCGAGGTCAGAAAGGGATCGTGACCTGAAAAGTACTAATCCCCAGACGTGGCCACCAGGAGGCTCCCCAGCGGTGACTAACCCCCGTCACAAGCCTGTATCACCTTCTGAACCCTACGACTGTCACTCACGCGTGTGCCTACGTTCGCTTGCTTTGCCCTTGTACATAACTCTCTCGTTTCCTTTTCCTACCTAATCAGTCTTCAGGATTGGCTACAAGCATCTGTGGTGGGAGATCTAAGGTGCAACTGACCTGGGGCAAGTGACTGGGACTGGGGGTAACCTGAATATCGCTGTGATTCTTGGTGGAAGGAAGGGTCCGTCGATCACAGAGATACACTCACCTGGGTGGCGAGACAGAGCGACGTACCCCAGGGGTACTGTTATAGCACTGGAGGAGCTTGCACTGGTTGGTGAAATCTAAGCATAGAACTTACCACCCGTTCGGGGTTTGTGCCCTGGTGTTTAACAGTCTGCCCTGCGTTTGGTATCACGCTCTTGCGTCACCGCTGGGAGCGTTACACTAGCGTGACTGTAAACTTGGGTGTAGATGTGCCATGAAGGGTTAGCCCTTAAGCGTGACTGGGAACAGACGGGTGTGTCCTGTCCACACTAGAATTTCAAGGCATGTTAGTGGACATGCGTTAGAACGTGATCCGTGCTAGGGGTACCAATGAAAACTATTCCAGGGCTGGGCAGAGCAGGGGCACAGAAACAGGAGAAACAGGCCACTCCATGGGACGGCCTAAACGCAAAGGCCTCCGCATTGCACTCACTTATAAGGGACTTTGCTCCCTAAAGGTTTCTGCCAAGGATACAAAATCTGGTAGCCCGAGCCTCCAGCACTTTGCTCCTTGGGCAGATGCCAAGCTAGGTGTAAGATGCTGCCGCAGCAGACTTGGCACTGGTCTAAACGACCGCACGAGGGAGAGCCAAGCCCTCGGAGTGGCTGGCTGCCCAGGCAGCCTCCCCTCACTGCAGCCCTGTTCAGTCTCTGAGGCCTGTCCCCGGGATTCAGGCCCGGGGCGTTGGACCGTACAGCAGGCTACTGCCTCTCCCTGCTTCGTTTACAGCTTCGTGGAGCCCAGAGTGACCTCCTGCTCCGGCCTGTCGCCTCAAGCGATTGCCAACGGCGGCATCTCCCCCTCCCCTTCTATTCAGCCCCCTTGGCACTAGCCCCGGGGTGGCAGCCGGGGCCCCGCGCTGAGCGGGGAAGTGTCTGGACCTGGGTAGAAGTGAACGCAGCTCACCCTGCCTGGGCCACGGGAAGCTCCGGGAGGGTTAGAGCAGCTCCTGGGACGCTCGCTGTCCCGGGCCGAGGCCTGGGTCAGGAACAGCTTGTTCCCCAGGAGAGGCCCGGCACCCTTCTCCCCAGGCCTGTCCTACCATCCCTGGGGCTGGGCACGGTCCTGGACTCCACACACTTACCAAGGTCAGGCCACTGTCTGCCCATGGCACTCTGGGCCAGCTGCCCGCGGACTGGTCTCGACTGTGACTGGTCCTCCGCGGGGTCTGCTCTGGGGCTGGCACTCGCCGCACAGTCGGGCTAGGGACAGGGGCCGAAGGCAGGGAGCCCAGCCGGGTGGGGCAGGCCCTGGCACTTGCCATTGGCCGGGCTAGTGACACAGAGGGGCAGGAAGCCCCCTCTGTTGTTTGTGAGCAGGAACATGCAGCCCTCCCCAACCGTCCGGATTGCCACAGGAACGTGGCAGGGCCCTAGCTCAAGGAGGGCAGCGTGGAAAGAAGTGGGTCTGCGACCACGGAGGCATTCGGAGCAGGGCTGGGCTTGGAGCCGGCCAATTCAGCCCCACTTGCCTGCACGCTGGCCCTGCCCCATCCGGACTGTGTGCTCAGCACCCTCTGAGCGCACACGGGCAGCTGGTTCACCCCGGCGGACATGGCCCAGAGCTGTGCGTAGCAGTGCCCGCTCCCGGCCATGCAGAGCCCACGTCCAGTGCAGGAGGTTTTGGGGGGCACATGAGCAGGGAGTGCCACTCAGTTCCCCAGAGCCGGGCAGCTCACAGGCAGCTGGGAAAGCGGAGGCGCAGCAGAACAGATCGAGAGCCATACCAGTGCAGCCGGAGGGAGAGTTCCTTTCGGGCTGGTGACCCCGGCGCTGCCTTTGCTGCTGTTCGTCTGCGGCTGCAAAGGAGAAACGCATCCTGAAAGACAGGCCTGGTGGCCCATGCTCTCCTCCGCCCCCCACAGACCTTCCCAACCCTATGTGGCAAGCAGGGATCCCCTGCATTACGTGGCCAGGCTGAGGCGGACATGAGCAGGAAAGCCAAGTGCCTGGCGTGCATCCAGGGCTCCAGAGAAGGCCCAGATGTGGGTGAGACACAGGGGAACTGTGTATGGGCAGCTTTGCAAAGCCCTCCTTGCCTGGGAGAGACTCCGGATATTCGAGTCATGGCTCCGGGCCAGGCAGAAGCTGCAAGCGGCGGGCGCCAGCTCGCCACAGCACTGGCCTGACAGGAGCCTGCACCGCCGGCATCATTTCCCGCCGGCCTCGGGATCTAAAACCGATCTCCCCGCAGCCCCAGCATGCTGCTCACCTTGCCAACATCGACCTTCTTGTTCAGTAAGCTCTTAGCTGCTGCATGGGGAGGGAAAGGACAGGGTTAGTGGCGGTTCCCCCCTCGCCAGCACCCGCCGTGCTGCCGCCTGCCCTTGAGGGGCGGAGAGAGGCCGCTTCAAACCCAAACCCTGATGGGTTACGCCCGAACGCAGAAGGGGAGCGCCACCCCTTCCCCCAGCCTCCTGCACCCGGGGAGGCCACACCTTCACCGGCTCGAGCGGAATACGAGATGGGGACCCAGAAAAGGTCACAGCGGCTGTGGCAGCCGGCCCCGTTGGCGGCTGTTCCCTTCGTGCGAGGGCAGCATGCCCTTGGTTTCCCTGCTCAGCAGAGCTGCCCCAGGCAGGCCCAAGTTCGGCCAGCGCACACGCGAGCAGAACCGGGGGGCAGGCTTTCCAGGGACAGCGCTCGGCTCTGGCAATGATGCCCTCCCGGTCGCCCCAGAGAAACCCTCCAAACCTTCCTAAGTGGGGCAGCCCTGGGGTCTCTGCTCTCTTCCCCTGGCACCTGTCGTGACCGCTGGCCAGCAGGCGCCGCTAGAAACCCACTGACTCAGAACGTCTCCTCCCAGCTGGACCTTTCACTAGCCCCTTCCCCGGTTCCTAAACGCAGGCACTGGGCAGAGAGCGCCAGCTGCCTCTGCGTGATCTCCCGCTGTTTGCCCTCTGCACCAGTCTGATCTACCCTCACCCCCGTCCCCAGGGCCCTTCTCCCCTGCCCTCACACCAGCCGGCTCAGTGCTTGACCACCTCACAGCCAGTCAGCTGACAGCTGAGCGGTCCTTCCTCTGCCCCGACCCTTCCCATGCAGGATCACACCCTCCGAGAGCCAGCCCCCAGCCACTACTGCCCCTCCGGCCGGGAGCTGCCCACTGGGCAGCACGGCACCGAGGCGCTCTCAGAACTTGGCACAATCTCATTTCACTCCTTGAGAGCACTTCCCCCCCCCATCCCCAATCTCACCATGTGCCCACCAGGCAGGCCAGGGGGGGTGTCAGCCTGCGCTCCTAGAGGGGCACGTGGAGACACAGGGGTTAAGGTACTTCCCCAAAGTCAAACCTATGCTGGGACTAAAACTCAGAGATGATGCCCAGCCCCTGCTCTAACCGCTATCCCGCACTGCCTGGGCTCCCAACCTCCTGAGTGTCACAGCCTGGGTATCCATGGCCCTCCCCCGGTGGGGTCCAAACGGCAGAAGCTCGCTCTCCAGGAAGCAACCCCTGGAACCCGCAGCCCCCGCTGTGCTCTGGGTCCCGTCTTCACTGCCCTGCCCAGCCCTCCTGCCCTGGGGTCTCCAGCATGTTAGGCTGTGCTGCCTGCTTCCCCGCTGTCCCCTCTGGGCCTGGCCACCTGCTCGTTCGCACCCCCCCCTCCTTGGGTCTGAATCTGCATTCAGAATAGCCAACAACTGTCCCGTGTCAGCCAGCCCTGGCTGAGAGAGCAGTGGAGCTGCAGGTCTGGAATGACAGGCATTGGCAGAGATGTGGCAACCCAGGGCTCGATATGCCGGGGGTTGGGAGTCAGGATCAAGCGGCACCAGCAGGGCTGTAGGGGGAGCCCAGGGCTGGGAGAGCATGGGGATGGGGTCAGGATTGAAGGCACTGGCAGAGCCAGGGATGGGGGGCAGAACTGGGATGAAAGGAGGTTGTGAGTCGGGATTGAGGGGCACTGGCAGAGCTGGGGGGGAGCCCAGGGCTGGGATAGCAGGGGGCTGTGGGCTGGGATTGAGGTGCACCGGCATAGCCAGGGGCAGGGGGCAGGACTGGGATAAAAGGGGGTTGTGAGTCGGGATTGAGGGGCACCAGCAGGGCTCTGGGGGGAGCCCAGGGCTGGGATAGCAGGGGGATGGGGTCAGGATTGAAGGCACTGGCAGAGCCAGGGAAGAGAGGCAGGATTGGGATAAAAAGGGATTGTGAGTTGAGATTGAGGGGCACTGGCAGGTCTGTGGGGAGCCCAGGGCTGGGGTAGCAGGTGGCTGTGGGTCGGGAGTGAGGGGCACCAGCAGAGCCAGGGGTGAGGGGCAGGACTGGGGTAACAGGGGCTGCAGGTCGGGAGTGAGGGGCACCAGCAGAGCTGGAGGGAGCCCAGGGCTGGGCTAGCAGGGGCTGCGGGTCGGGAGTGAGGGGCACTGGCAGAACTGCTTGTGGTGAGCCTAGGACTGAAACAGAGGGGCTGCCGGTCAAGACCGAGGTGCATTGGCAGAGCGGTGTGTGGGGACAGATTGCACACCGCCTGCCTCTATCGGCCGGCTTTTAACCGGTGCCGTTTGTTGCTCATTCGCAGACAGAAACCCTCTCTGAACGCTACCCGAGTATCGGCGCTCGCCCTACAGCCCGGGGACTAGGTGGAACACAGGGAGCGCCGCCTCCCGGCCCACTGCCCCATGGCCACCTCTGTCTCCCATCCCCCAGCCAGCTCTGAGGAGAGAACCCGGGGAAAAGTTTGCTTACCTGACAGAAATGTACAGAAGAGGAAAGCGAGAGAGACAGGCAGGTGAGAGGAGAAGGAGGGAGTGGAGGAGAGAAGAGAACAAAAAGAGGTGTTGATTCCGGCAGAGTGCAACATTTGCAGGGAAGTTACCACTCACAGCTGGCCTGAGCACAGTCACACTGATGAGGGTGCGGGGGTGGGGGGTGGATAGTAGCCTTTTAAAATGCCACAGCAGTCAGAAAAGCGACAAGGCAGAACGAGGCAGCTCTCCGCTCCCCGGATCGTGTCTCTCGGTGTCACCGAAGCCAAATTCTTTGTCATTCAAGCACATTGGCCATATTCCCACCCAGTACCCCCTAACATTGCTGCCCCCCCCAATCTGAGGTTTGAAGTGATCCTTGCTAGCGTCTGGTGTTCAATTTGGCTTTGCTTCATGCAGCCAATTTCAAACCAGCGGGCGCATGCCCCCGACAGATCTATCCTGCCGTGGCTTCCTGTCACTCTGCTGAGCCCAGGGTGCGTGGGAGGGGGCTGCTGACTGGTCCACGGGAAAGCGCGGCTGTAACTACTACAGCTGTTCTCGCCACTGGCGCATTCGTAACAATGCGGGTTACTGGGGGGCTTTCCAAGGGACGGGGCCGACGCTCCAGCGCTTAGAGTCTTTAGGGACGGGACAACCCCCTGTGAAAGATCCGCCATGGTGCAGCCAGGAGGTACCGGGATAAACGCAGGGTGACATTCGCTGGCCTGCGCCATGCAGATCAGCCTGGATGATCGTCATGGTCCTTTCTGGCCTTAACCATGCAGAACTTCTTCGGCCCGGGCAACAGAGGCTGTGATCAAAAGGTAGCTGGTAGCTTTCCTGGGAAACAGAATGGCTTCCTTGGCTCTGCAGCATGGATCCGGTGGCTGACAGCGTTTGTCACTGGGCTGCACACAGCCACGGAGGGCACCCAGCCAGCAAATCCGGCCAGCTGTGACTCAGAAGGGAGCTGTTTGGGTGCCTTTGATAAAATGCACCGCGCAAGTACCTACACTGTGCTGAAAAGGCTACAGGCTTAGCCCGTAGCCATGCTCTATGCGATGGTCTAGCTGGAGTCGCCCCAAGATTAGAGGACAAGTTACTCCAGGATTAGAAAGCGTCTTGTGGACTTGAGACATCCGTGCAATGCCCGTGGGGACAGAGGTCCCAGCTCGGGCTTTGGCAGAGCATTCCTCGCATCTGGAGAGTGAAATGGTTGGTTCTGCTGCAAGCCAGCCCCGACAACACAGGGAGCTTCGCACTTTCCAGCTGTGCTATTAAGGAGGGTCAATATCCCTCGCTGAGGGAGGAAGAGGGGCGGAGGCGTGACTCACCCAAGCTCACCCAGCAAGTCAACGCCAGAGCTGGGAACAGAACCCAGGAGTCCCGGCCCCCAGTCGAGCGGCCCATCCCCTGGGTCACTCTGCCTCCCTAGAGCAAAGCCACCAAGCAGGTAAACTGTGCCTGCCTCATCAACTGTCACTCTTCCACATGACACAGAAGAGCAGCTCTTCCAGGGCTCGCAGAACCTTGCAAATCGGGAAGGGGAGCTGCCTTCATACCTTTCAGCAGAGCCCCCTGTGGGGAGCATCCAGACAGGCGGTACCAGTAACGTCTGGCAATCCTGGTGCCCTCCGGCAGGGGACAGCCGCCTGGCTGGGAAACGAGAGCATGGCGTGCGCTGGGAGGGAACCCAACCTCAGAGACCATCTACGTGCCACTGGCAGTGGGCTTCCATCCCCACGGAGGAGGAAGTTGGCCGTGCAAAGCGGTCACGCTTGGACCCTCAAAGCTCTTCTGACTGGTAACCCAGCCGGAAAGCAGGGGACGAGGTCTCCAAAGCCCAGCCTGACCCTGGGCTCTCCAAACCTAACTCTCAAGGTCACGCTTGGGAATGCCCGTCCACAAGGTTCAAGCTGCCGGACGCCCTGCGCAGCATGTGTAGGGTGAGGGACCTGGTCTCATCATGTGAACTCACAGATCCTGGCACAGCACGACCTGCCTACAAGACTGGCCCAGATGCTACAGTAACCGTCTGGGGGGCTCGTCCCCAGTAGCCATGGCGAGGGGAGGGGAGATGGATGCCAGCAGACTGAGATCTCTCATGGCCCTCTGGGCGTGTCACTTTGCTAGGGCTGGCTCCTGGACCGGCAGGGAGCCCAACTGAGTGTAAAGTGAGGGACTGCAGCTTGGGTTCCCGAGGCTCTGGATTGGCAGAGGATTCAGCTCTGGGGAGGTGATGCATTCGTTCCTGTGACGAAGTGGGGGATTTTCTTATCTTTTCGTGGTTTTCCAATGGTTTGCACGCAGAGGGAGTGGGACTCAGTGCCCCTGGGTGTTACTGGTTTAACGAGGGGAGGGGAGAGGGAGTTTGTTGGTACAGAGGACCAGAGAGGGAACTTGGGACCCAGCCGATGGCCTGGAGGAGGGACACCCCAGAGCCTGGTGACCTGACGACCCTCACTGGAGACCCAGCTCAGGAGTCGCAGCCAGTTCTGGCCAGTGGGAGGACAATGGGCTGCGGAGAGAGGACCCCATGACCTAACCAGCCAGTTCCAGCTGGG